AGGAAGTTAGTTTGGTTTTCAGGGAACCTCTGCTAGCCTTTACTTCAATAGCCTCTGATATTCAGGTAGTTGGCATGTCCTCTAATTCATGTTACTTATTTCCCTCTGATCTGTTGGATGAAATACTATTTATCCTTTAGTACGTAAATTAAAGGTTACCTCATTCTAGTTAGCTGATTTTTAAAAAATCTGGACTAAATTATGAATACATACACATCATAATGAAATAGTTGATTATTTCCACTTCCAATTTCTGTAACCTGTGTAAAGGAAACCATTATGTACATCTTGCAGACGCGTTAAAATGTAATATATGTACATAAAAATAGTTCCATTGTTTGCTTAGTTTCAGCAAATGTTATGCTCTACATATTCTGCAAATTGCTTTATTTTTCTTAATACATTCTGGAGATCTTGTCAAGTTCCTATGTTAGGGTTCTCAACTAATGGGATAAATGGATGAATTGGCTCATGAGATTATGAAGGCCAAGAAATCCCACAATCTGCCAGTGTGCAAAGTAGAGAACTGGGAAAGCTGATGGGATAATTCAGTTTGAGTTCAAAGGCCTGAGAACTGGGGGTGCCAGTTGTGTAAGTCCTGATCTGAGTTCAAAGGCTCAAGAAACGAGCACCATTGTCTGAGGGAAGGAGAAGATGGATGTCCCAGCTCAAGCAAATTCACAGTACCTCCACCTTTTTATTCTGTTCAGACTCTCAATGAATTGGGTGATGCCCACCTGCATTGGTGAGGGTGATCTTTACTCAGTTTGCCCATTCAACTGCTTATCTCTTTCAGAGACACCCAGAAATGTTTTACCAACTGTCTGAGCATCCCTTAGCCCAGTCAAGTTGACACATGAAATTAACCATCACAACCCCTATTAATGTACCTAATTCTTTTTGTCTTCATAATCACTATATGAATGTTCATATGTTTATTATGAATATTCATTTGACTCTTGGTAAACATTTAGGATGGTGCCAATTTTTTTTTTTCTGTTTAAACAGTGATTCCATGAATATCTTTGAATATACCACCTTGTGTTTATCTGGGGCACATTGACAGTGTACTTGCAAGATTGAAGAATGGATGTGTTTTTATCACTCCTTCAGTAGGCTCTGCCGATTTAGACTTCCATCAGCAGTGAATGAGAACTTTCCTGCCTGGCAGTCTTGAACTCTTGATAGTATCTCTTAGATTTGTGCCAATCAATGTGTGAAAAATAGTATCTTACTTTAACTTGCATTTTCCTTGCCTAAGTGCCCTAGGTTTATATTGTATTTAGATAGCCATAAAGTCAAGTCCCTTTTTAGAGTTATTTTAAGTGTTTTCCTTTAGTTTCCTTCCACATATTCTCTCTCAGATAAAATTTAGAATTAGCTTGTCAAGTTAATTAAGTCCTGTTGTGATTTTGAGATTGCATTGAACTTGTAGATGTGTTAGGTAGAACAAACATTCGCCATCTTTGCTATACTAACTCTTCCATCCAGCAACATGGTATATCTCCAATTACTTGGGTAGTCTATGCTTTTCAGAATTTTAAAAATACATTTCTTGGGTTACTCCTAGCTATTTTGAACTAGAATCAAATCGCTAGTACCTTTTCTAATTGGACATTGATGGATGTAAGACGGTTATGGGTTTTTGTATTAAACATCTCGTGTGTGTTCACACTGCTGAACTCTTTTATCATTCTAATAGAATTTTTTAGTTGATTTTCTTGGATTTTCTATGAGGATGATGATGAAAACAACTTCTCCCTAATGGTATTACATGTCAGTAGGTAGAGAAAGCTTCAATAAAATAATAAGATTCTTAGATGTTTTAATGCACAAACATGCAACTCCTTTCCAATAGCTGTTTTGAAGATTGCCCTCCCTGATGAGTACCACACAGTGTTATCTCCCATACCTTCATGTCACAGGCCCTCAAGAGAAATCATGAAAAGGGCCTGCCTCATTTTACACTTCTGTATAAAACAAATCGTGTAACTGCAATGTGTCAAGGAATAGGAATGTAATTACCCAGCTTCCCCCTCCCCCTGCTAGTGAAAATTTCCCCTTTCCTCTAGTGGATATTTTACATTTTATAATGGTCTCGCTCTATCACACAGGCTGAGTGCAGTGGCCCGATCATAGCTCACTATAACCTCGGACTCCTGGGCTCAAATTATCTTCCAGCTTTGGCCTCCCAAAGTGCTGGGATTACAGGCATGATCCACTGAGCCAAGCCAGTGCTTTCTTTTATTGATTTTCTTGAATTATATTTTTTTAGATGTTAGTGTTGTCATACCTGCTTTCATTTGT